TCAATCGCTGGGGTTCCCTGCCTTCTCATAGAGGAAGGATTTATGATGGTAAATATTGTGATGCTCTAATGACCAATATAGACGTTGCTTTGGGTCTGAAGTGAAAATTACGAACTTCTCAATATAAATAATTTCTGACAGTAGCAGGTATATTTTCTATGGGTAAGAATTAAATGGATCCTCATACCCATTTATGTGTGTTCTATAAAAATATGTTAATTTGAGCTCCATGGTCAGGGAGATTCTAATGTTCCCGTTACGGAACCATTTCGTCAGGGTTTGTAACTGTTAGATCAACTATCCATGACGGTTACATGATGATCTAACGGTTACAAATCCCGACGGAATGGTTCCGTAACGGAACTGTGGCATTTTCCCCATGGTCATTCCTATTATCTATCATGTTACTATTATTATTGTTATTATTAATATTATTATACTTGGCGTGGATCAATTAACTTTGAATTTGCAACCAAATGAACCGTAATTAGCTTTTATATATAGGTATTCCAACCCGTCCACTTCTTTTCATAGTTTGTGGCAAACATATCAATTTTACAGCTAAATATATTTGTGAAGGCAATTAATTAAGTCCCTACCATTATAGTATATCAGTTGTGTGTTTACTTGAAATAGATAACACCACGTTAGATTTCAAACCATATTTGCAGAGCACTGTATTAATAATGGACACAACTGTTCATATGTAAGAGAACATGGAAAATCATTGGACGATTTAGATAATTTATCTAATTTAATTATTTTTTTCTCGAAACGATAGAGAATTTGTCTAATTTATGGAATTTGAAAATTCTATATCAACATAATTCAATGATTGGCCGATTGTTTTCTTTTTTTTTTTCCTTTTTTTTTGGTACTGATTAGCCGATTGTTTTCTTCTTTTTTTTTTTTCGTGTTGAGACGGCACATTATAAGAGAAAAAAAATATTATTATGTGGGATTACCCTAAATTAAGTTTTAATTAGTTTTTTTTAGTGTGTGTTTGGTTTTGCTTATACGTATTTGGGCTTTTATAAAATACAGTATATATATATATAAGTCAAAGGGAACTTAAAAGTTTTCTCACAAAACAATAACCCCACAAAAATTATCCAAAATCACAATGATTATTATGAGAAGAAGACAATTCAAAATTTTCCAACTTTTCACAAAAATTAATGGAGGTGTCATTTAACGCCATTGAAAGTTCAAACCATACATCATCAGTTGCCAAAAAATTTCAAACTTATCATTTATTATTTAAATTAAATTAAATTTGTGAAACAACAAATTAATATATCTTCTTTACATAATAAAATTGGAGTTTATAAAACAGCAGGTTTTTTGTATGTTAAAAATTGCAGTTGCAAGTTTTAATACGTTTCACATTCATTAAGCACGAGGGGGTATTTCTTTAAAAGAAGAAAGAAGAACCGTAAAAACAAGTCAAAAAGGACAACATATGTGAGCAAATTTTCGAAATAAATTAAATTACGAGATAAAAACACCTAACTAATTACCCAAATTATCCCTCCCTGGTCGCTTGTAAAATCCTATACTATGATATTTTAATTTTTTTTTTAACTATATGAGTATATAAATTAGCTTCACAAAATCTTGTTACAAGTCATAGATCTTATTACATTAATTAGAGAGGTTTGGTACACGAATTACCCTTCATTATCTATATATATATTAAATCAGAGCAGCTGGTTTAGGAGCTACTTTTCCCTCCAAAGATATGCATTAATTGTTGTCTAAGATATGTATTAATTGTCATAATTAAGTTGTCTTTAATTACACTATTTATCTAATTTCAAAATGACTATTCACTTGCTTGCATTTACTTATAATAAATAAAGTCCATTTTTGTAAGGGAACTCTTGGTTCAATGCATTGGACATAATAATGGCAATCCTCCCTTAAAATTTATCATCAAAAAATTAATTATACAAATTAATTAACACAGTGATTAAAAACTTCAATCTACATAAGACCTCAAGTTGTTCATTTATCAATGAAATGATTATACTTATTTTCTCGACCAATCAATTTTTTTATTTGAATTCGAACAAATACAAATATATAGGACGTTATTAGTTGGCAAAAAAAATATAAAAATTAATATGGATCATGAAGATAATGAGTAAATTGAAAAAATATGTATACGTATTACATATTTTATAACTCATGAGTTATTTATTAGTGTCACAATAATAACCAAATTACTTTACATAATTGAAACTTTAAATTTATCTCTATGATAAGAAATCGTAATTGTGTTTTACATTTCCTTCAATAATATAAATAACATTAAATATGTTTGGAAATATTGAATATGATTTTCAGAATTTTTACAGTTTGTTTAATTGAAAATATATATTACTCAAAATAAAAAATGATGAATATTGTCTTAAAAAAAATAAAAAACGTATATTTTGAGTTTAATCCGTTATATATTTTTCTAAAACCACAACTGATTACGTTATATATGTATTAGCATAAGGAAGTCTATATAAATAACTTAATTTTTAAATAAAGTTACTTCAAAATATAATTGTGAAAACCAAAGTAATAAATGAAACAGTGTAATATAAATTTTGTCTTAGTATGAAATAATAAGGGTATATATTTATTCATGTTTTCATGGAATATAACATTCCACTGCTAATATTCATGGCTTTGAAAAGAATTGTTAAATTCTTTGTGGATAATTTAAACAATAAAAAATATTTATTTGTACGAAAAATTAACTACAAAATTAACACAATATCAGTATAGATTAGTTTATGTATAATAGTTTAAATATATATACCATCATATTTTTATAATCATACATACATAGTGCAAATAATGTTGATAAACTATACTTTAAGGTGATTAACTATTTTAATATAAAAAGAGTACCAACGGTTTACCACTTGATAAAAATAACAATGCTTATTATTTGTGATATTTCTCAATTATGTAAATTTCGATACAATAATTAGTCATGGACAGTTATATGTTGCTGTTTCTAGAGTAACGAATGATGGCGATAGTGATAGTGAGCCCGGTTCTTCTACTACTAATGTTGTATTTAAGGAAGTATTTCAGAATATGTAATAAAATAAATTATTTTTTTCTTATTTTATATTGCTAGAGCATTTTTTTTTTTATATATTACGAGAATCAAATTTTTTTAACACTATTCCCTTTTTAATATCATGCCGCGCATCGCGCGGGTGACGTACTAGTTTTTATCTTAATTAGCTTAATTTTAGCTGAATGAGCATATTTGGTGGTTATATTATTATATAGTTATTGATATTGTTATGACTAAAGGACAAAATATATGGTTGTACTTTTTGAAGGTGTAGTATTTTTTACATTTAAAAACACAAATTGGAGAACTTAATCATTATTGTAATCCTAAAAAAATAACGTTATTTTTAATGATGTAATATTGTTAAATTATTTAGTTACTAGTATAATACCCGTGTATTACACGGGTGCTTGTTAAAAAATTATTCTTAAATTTTAAAATTAATGAGAAAATTATATTAAATTTAGTTACTTTTTTACAAAAAAAAAAATATATTACTATATATTTTAGAATGATATGTGTTACTTATGACTTACATGTGTTATATTATATTAGTTTTTATAACTTATATCATATAACTACTTGAAATATAAATATATTAGTTGATAAATAATTTTATTTTTCTAATTAATATTAAAAATAATTTTATTATTGTTATAAAGATAAATATAAATTATTTTTTTTATACTTTAATATATTACATATGTAAAACTGATAAAAAATACAAAAGTTATTAACTTTTAAAATATATATACAATTCAATAGTTATAATAAGGAATGATATTAAAATACAATTAA